CCCCAAGTACATGAATAAAGTTTCAGGCTACGGCCCTGTTATATTACTTCAATATTCACACCTGGTTAATGTCAAGTAGGATCCTAATTTCTTGCCTGATAGCAAGCAACCCATATTTGCTGTTTTAGAAAGGCGGTGAGAAGTGATGGAGGCTCTTTGAAGAGAGTTCCTCAAAGATGTGGTTGTACTATAGTGAAGATGAAAGATTTCTCTATCCTTTCCTGAGGGTAAAAAAGAAAGCCTGTCTTCCTACGTTACAGAGTACTCTCTAGTTTGTTTAGTTGTGTTTTGTAGCCAGTTATACTATCATTTGCACAAAACTATTAGAAGCATCCAACGATTTTAGACTAGGAACAAACCTGCCCAAGTAACTATTATCTTCTGAAAATCGTGGAGAGACTGGTATGACAGAACATTTCTGTGGAGACAGAAGAGCTTTCTGCTTTTCATCTCTGTTTTCCTCTTCTTTCCCCTAAGTGTGGCCAACAGTACCTTCCCAACAGTGCAGAACTTTCTCATACCAACATTTAACTTCTCCACAACATTCTAGGTGTTGCAGGCAGGCTCTTCTGGGGCTCTGCTTCCCCCAACCTTGTCCCCATCCTTTATGCACCTTCGTTTTCCCCTCCAAGCCCACCCTTACCCGGAAGAATTTCAGGCAGGAGTAACTGGAAAGGACTTGAAATGAGTGGCATTCCTAAACTGATTAGTAAGTTTTAGGCGTAAGGCTAGGGGAGGTAGACTGCAGTACCTCAGAGACCAACCACTTTTGCAAGGTCCAGAGAAAATAATCTGAGGACTGGCATGAGTGCATGGTATTTTTTACTTTTTAATTTATTTTTTTTATTACTATTTTTGGGGAGGAGGGTTTTCGCTGCTTACTGGTGGGCTGACATAGCCTTACAGCTTCAGATTACCTTCAGACCACAGTTGGGAAAAGCTGTGGACTGAACAATTGCAAAGTCTGAGAGAAAAGAAAGTGGTGGACTAGTGTCAGCAAAAGCCAAATAGCCATTCCTTCTCTTTCAGCAAGCCGTAGTCCTCATATATCGCAATATTTTGAAAAAGGAGGTGCAGTGGAGGCAGAAGCAGCATGATGTGCTCCTGCTATGGTGTTGTGAAGCAATAGCTTACCAAAGTAAACCATCTAATAGGCTTAGCGTAGGCAAGAAAGGGCAATTTTGCAGTAAGAATATCACCCAGGGTCTGCAACCTCTACCTCACACACATGATGTCAGAGACTCACTCTGAGAAACAAAGACGGGCCACTTGGCTGCCTCAAGGTCAACATTAATTCAGGCTTTGCAGTGCCCACCACAACCCACCAAACACAGTGTCACCGGTGAACTCCCTTGATGGCATCGACAAAGCCGTGTTGTAGCCCTGCAAGCCAGCTCAGCACCTACCTCCCCTCTCCTGTACTTTCTCCTCCAGACACCAATTCTCCTATGCCTCGAGGGCATTTGGGGGTCAGGTCTCAGCCTCATCCTGTGGGACTACTGATGGGGACCCACCACCTCTGAAAGGCTCTGCCCCGTACAGGCCACTAACTGCTGAGACTGCTGAGAATGTGCTTGGGGCCGTGCTCAAAGGGCCGCCTGACTGGGCAGGTGACCTTCACTTGCTTGGAGATAGTATGAGGGACCCAACTGTTGATCCCTTTGAGGGATCAAACTCAGCCTCCTTTCCAGCTAGGTTGCTTTGGTTAGGGAAAGGATGGATGGGAGATCCGGGGTATCAGGGCAGGCTCTAAAGGGAGAATGAGGCTCAGAAGGGCATCGTGGCTCTGTTTTTCCTTTCTCCACATCCATCCTGCAGCTGTTGAGCAACAGGAGGAAGGGTCCTGCCCCACATCCTGCGATCCAGCAGGCAGGGCACAAGAAGCGTAAGCATAGGAGGGGTTGGAACTGCTCCCATTCCATTCAGGAACAAGGAGTTCATTGTCCCCCACCCTTGACCAGCGTCTCCCTCCCTGTTGTTTCCTCTTTCCTCCCAGTCATCCCTTGCTTTTCCTTGTACAAACCTGCACTTTTTATTCTCAGTTCCATTCTTCCACCCCAAACGACAGCTTGAAGAGAAAGGTTTTTTTCCCCTTCCCACCCCAGTTCCTAACACTCCTCTGTGCCGCTTCCCAGAGATCTGTCGCTCCAGGGTACAGCAAGCCCTTGACAAATTACGACCTCATCCTCTAAACTCCAAAGGAATTCCAGGAAGACAGGGAAATAGTACTGTTAGTATTTCCCTGAGAAACTGAAACAAGATGTGTTCAAGGGATAGAAATTGCTTTTATTAAAAACATTCTAAAAGGTTATTTATAAAATGCATTTCATCATCTGTGCTCGGAAACAACTGAGGAGCATACAATTGGTGAGGCATCTTGTACTTTCAGAATTTCAACTCACAAAACAAGCTTTAGCTATATAAACTCGTTACACATCTAACACCACAGGCAACTCGGATTTCAAGGATTGTTTGTAGAAAGATTTCAGCCTTCAAGTACCAATTTGTTTAAAGAAAGACTTTTGGTAAGCAGTACATGTGCATACCTGGAAATACCCACTTAGTACAGTAGACTCATCTTTAAAATTCAACGGTTTGTGCCAAAGTACAGCATTAAAATCAACAGATACAAAATAAATAACTTGATTGAAGAATTCAGAAAAGTTATTTAATAAATAAGGATGCATTGTGAGATATCTAATGTACAGTAACTTCTCTACTCAAAAAAAAAACCACCTATAGAAATCTGAATAAATAGCCTTTTGTGATTTTTTTTTTTTTTTACAAGTAAACAACTTGCCCTTCCCTTACAATTCCCAGATTAACACTGAAGGAGATTTAACTCCTGCAGAATGAATGAGTATGTGAAAGAAAAAAAGTACTTCATTTATTTGCATTGAGAGTTTAACAGTTTAAAGTTATTCCCACACTCACTCCTAACTTGTCCCAAGATTGCAAAAAGCTTTTATTAGTTTAACTTCACTGTGATGTGGTTCTGTTTTTAGACAGGTCTGCTCATTTTACACAGTGCATTAAAAAAAATGAAGACCAAAAGACCTACTGTAACTCCAGTAGACTTTGAGATGAATTTACAGCAGGGCAAAAGGAAAGGCCACAATGACTCCAAAGACACTGGAACATATGTTGAATTAAATACATACATTTATAACTGCAAAGCAAAGGCCCCAAATAGCAACTGCGCACGAGAGCTGTACTCTATATTGGCATTCATCTGTGATTTCACTGAAGAGGCACTTCTTTCAATGCAAGAGTTTTAGTTACTGGAAGTTGCATACAGACTTAGTCAGGGTCTCTTTTAAAGAGGTACAAAGGAAAAAAAAATCTTCAAATAAAAAAAAAAGTCATTTTGGTTTTCAACTCAGGGAAATGAAACAGATGCTAGCAGTATTTTGGAAATCCTCCGTGAAGTTAAACAAAGCTGATGGAATGGTTGTGTGCAACTAAGATTCAATGTAAGAGGTTTTTAATTGGATTACTTCAAAGATATGTTTAGACAATAGCTATGCAAACAGCTGAATCAGCACAATTGATTTCTGGCAGTGCCATAAATCAGGCCTACTCCCAGGAGAATAATAAGCCTATTTTAATACAGTCATAGGTTAAACAATAAATCTAAGCCCCACATTTTATCTTGGCAAGCTTAATAAAACCAAATTATTCTGGAGAATACATGAAAATGCTTAGAAGCACCTGTTACTAGAGTTTACCTGATTAAGACTAGGTTGATGGATGTAGAAGCCAGTCTTAGCTAAATGAAGTGTTTTCACTCTAGAAAGTTCCACACAGATAAAAGAATTCAACTGGCATTTAAGTATCGATTTAACCCTCCAAACAGTAGAACTGTCACCAAATTTTTATTTTGTTCAAATCGTTGTTTTGGTTTTTTTTTTTTCTCCTCGTACATTTGCTAGATGGCTCAGTAGCAAACTATTTGCCTAAAATCAAGTCCTAAGAAGTGCTACCTCAAATCCCGAGTTACACACACTGCTTCCTTCCCTAAAGAACAGCTACATCCTCTGATCTACACTCAGTTTAGAGTGGAGATACTGCAAAACTTAAACCAGAGATAGGAGCTAAAAAGTATGAAAGAGGTGGGTGAATTTAAATTTACTAGGACTACAGGAACTAGACTTCATCCAGGCAGTCCCTTCTGTCCCACACTGTCTCCCTGAAAACAGTACGGCTTGGGGTACTGCAGGGGACGGACATCACATGCTTGTAGATGTGCAACAATGAAAGACGTGTTGGCCAAATTCAAGAGAAGATATTCAGGTGTGGTTTTTAAGATACATAAAATTACGGAAGTTTTCAAATAAGGTTGGGAAGGTATAAATAGTTGGCGATATACCCTCGTTCTCTGCGGAAAACATCAGTGGTATGACAGCAGCACCTGTATGTTCACCATAAAAACCAGATCAGGAAGTAAGCCCTTGGAGACATGCTAAGTAACTCTACATTAGCAAGAGCTAAGTTTCTGAATATGGTTTGGCCGAACCACGAGACAATGTGCCATACAGCCTCAGTAATACCATTATGCTGTTATGAACAGCAGAAGAATCAAGTGAGTGTGTAAGACTCATTCAAGCTGCAACATGCCTTTTAGAAAGGTGCTTAAACGCTCAAATGACTCAATTTAATAAATAAATTTAAGCTCAACACTGCTAGTGCCATGTGCGTTAATACTGCTTCACATTCTTTCAAAGTAAATATATTGGACCTGGGAATACCTACAGTACCATACCACGTTATCTCTAACCTTTGGTCACACTCCCTTTATGTTTTAGACATACACCTCTTCAGGACTTGCTAATAAAATTTAGCAAGAAAATGTGGGTGCGTCATCACTAGCATTTTCATCCAATATCCAAATCTACAAGCAAATACAGGGCACTTCAGAACTTCAAAAAAAATCACTGGTACCTTTAAAGTAACATCTAGCTTTAACACAGGTGTCCAGTAACACTGAGCTGGAACAGATAAAAAATGAAGGTAATACAGCTAAGATTAGGCTCCACTGCCAGTCAGATAAGTATGCACCATCAGAGTACACTTTTGGAGAGATGGAATGCAATGGGGAAGAGTTTCTTTTCAGTTAAAGTTAGTCTTCCGTAAATGCTTATTAGGAATTTCTATAGCACTGACTTGAAGAGGCCAAGACCCACCAACAATTCCTGCTTGGATAGCTACGCCCATTACAACTGCTAGATCAGGATCTACAGAGATGTTAGGTTCCTTTCCAAAGAAATCCTGAATAACTTTCCGTACTTGAGGAATCCGGGTGGAGCCTCCAACTAACACAATTTCATCCACTTCTGCTTTGTGTAGGTGGCCTTCCTTCAACACTTGTTCAATGGGCACAAGAATCTTCTCAAAAAGGTCCTCATTTAACATCTCAAATAGCTTCCTAGAGATTTCTGTTTCAAACACAACTTTAACAAAGTTGTTCTCTACTTTTGAAGTGTCTCCAAGATCTTTCAGATCTTTTTTTTGTGAAGGCTTGCCTTTTAGCACAGTGGTTTTTACCTCACCTTCTGGAATTTCTTTTGTAAGCTTCCTTTCTGGCATAGTCAACAACACCCTCAGTGTAGCTGCCTCATGAACAGTCAGATTTAATTTAACCGCTTCCACAGCCTGTCTGAGGCGATGTATTTCTTCTTTTCTTGTTGGCAGAGAACCATACATTTGATGAAGCTGATCATATAAATACAGCATCAACCTCTGATTAAAATCCTGTCCTCCAAGTTTGTTGTTACCTGAAACATCAGAATAGAACGCATCAGACACATCACCTGCAAAGCTTCAGAAAGCAGCACACATCTCTTTTACTGGGAGACAGTGCTCAAGGGCCAGAACAGTGACACTAGGACCATAAGCATAGCCCAAGAGAATCACAGAATCGCTAAGGTTGGAAGGGACCATAAATAGACATAATCGCTATCCACTGAAGAACACATGATGGACAGTAATTTCCAGGCTTTTATTTATAGTAACTATTTCAGCATCTACCCCCCTCGATGTTTTTCCCCTGGAATTGCTCTGCTACACTGTAACAGAAAAAAAAGCAGTGGTTGTTAACTCAGAGGTATTCTCTACAGAAGAAAACATGTAACAATACATTTCTAGCTGTAACCCTGTAACTGAAGTGCAATCTTTCACAGCGAATTGCTTTTCCAGATAAAATTCCCAGTTTCAAACTTCACTCTCCGCCCAGAATGTTTTTTTTTTCCTCTTAGCACTTCCAGAGCACAGTTTATTGTGATTATTGTTTTAACAGTTTCAAGGTATCCAACATCTTCATGCAACCACACAGAAACCTACATGCTACTGAAGTATATGTATATACCCTGCTGAAAGCTGAAGAAAGTGATAAAACACAAGCAGTGAACTTCAAGCACTATTAACAGATACATCTTATATTAGCCTTCAGAGAGAAAGACAGAGGGGAAAAAAAAAAAGTATAATGTATAACCAATGTCTACTGAAAGATTATTCTTGCATCATGTTTTCCAAACCTTTCAAACAATTGTTCGTGATTTCCATTCAACAGAATTTAAAAAAAAGGCCTGCAGATTTTCCTGTGTGTTGAACAATACCCTCAACATTTCCACCGTTTTGTTTTCACTGAAACCAGGAATTCCCTTAGTGGGCCTCCATCTAAATAAATCAGAATGAAGCTGCTGAATATTTCTTGCTGTTCCACTCTACTGGACTGAGCAGCAGCTCACATCAAAACTGGTTTATTGACGGCAATGCAGACAGTTTGCACGGCATCTCTGACCTGCCTGAATCCAGGTCATCTGAAAAGCAGTTGTGCGTTCACTACAGTTTTACTAAACATTGCTGCCAGAATGCTTTGCCGAGTGGTGACTCACTTTGGCACATATGTACCACAAAACTTCCATGCGTGGAACGGCACGCATGTTCCCAAACCCTGCCCAACTGAGCTGGACCCAAACGCAAGGCTAGTCACTGATTTGGCAAATAGTGCCAGTTTGGACAAAGGTAATAGGAAGATGTGTAACACTCCCAGCCCTCAAAAGTCCAGTCAAAGTAATTGTAATACGCACCATCACTTTTATTAGTCATCACAAAAGTTAGCAGCCATGGATAAAATGAAACCACAACTTATTACTTGTGAAGTCAGCCAAAACCTGTGAATTTATCTTAACCGTCGAAACCAGTCACAAACCTAATTTTGCAGGAAAGGCAGCTGAGAACACATTTGGAGAATACTTTGTGACAAGGCTGGTATGTTTTAAAAAGCCCCTCTAATGGTGACTTTAGGTGAACCTTTCCTTTCCCCCCACTCCTTGAGAAAGGAAAGCATTGCATTTTTCTCACCTGCCATGGCTCGTGTGAGGAACATCCCTCCCTGCTTGTTCAACAGAGACACATCCAAAGTTCCTCCACCCAAATCCACCACCAGAACATTAAACACATCAGCTTTGTGGAGTCCATAAGCCATAGCTGCAGCTGTGGGTTCATTGATTACTCGCAGAATTTCTAGCCCTAAGAAAAGCAAAGAAACCAAGCAACAGTCAGGTACACTTATGAAGACTGCAGTTCTCACATCATAATGACATTTTGAATTAGTTGATTGGAGTTTTTTTTAAACCAAACTTACCTCAAGTAAAATGTCAGATCTAAAGGAAATAGTTTTCTAAGCAGTCATAGTCAATGAACTCTTCTTTATTTATGCCTAATGTAGTATACTTCAGTGTCAGGGTGAAGTCATGAACCATGATTTGCCCAAACACATTTCTTCCAGAGAAACCTTGCTAAGGAGACTTATTTAACACCTTCTATTTCTGTTTAAATTATTGTCCAAGGATGCTCTGTATAGTCTTTTTATTTGGAGATTACCAAAATGACTAATTTCCCTGAAGTAAAACTCACTTTTTCTAGCTATCTATGTTTGCATCAGTCAACTGCACCTGCCAGTACCCAAGAGTTCTCTGCTGTTCCTCACAATTGTTAATGGTCTGTCAAAAAAAATATTAAATTCATTCTAAGAATCTCTGTCACTGATTCACTTTTTCTATACCCTCCCCAGACTTCACTGTTAGTGACATAGACCTGAAGGTTTCACAGAAAAATGCTGGAATAAAGAGACATCACCTGCAAGGTTAGCTGCCTTAATGGTAGAATTCCGTTGCCTTTCATCAAACTCTGCTGGCACAGAGATGACCGCCTTCGAAATGGGCATGCCAAGATTGTCTTCTGCCATTCTCTTCAATTTCAGTAGCAGTTGAGAGCCAATATGCTCTGGAGTAATACGAAAGGTTTCATTAGTTGTCACAGAAAATTCGGCTGATCCATTGTTGTTGAAAATCTAGGCAGAAAAAGCAACACAACCCAGAGGTGAGAAGTCTTTTTCTTATGCCCTCCCACCAAATATTTTATTTGCATATAGTCTGCTTATTTTGGAAAAATAGGAATGTGCTTTTGCCACTTTCTGAATCATTTTTATTCCTTGACTACAAGTATTACGCAAAACAAGCCACTTAAGGGGTCCGAGTATATCCAAAGTAGAAACACCCACTGTGCCCAGATAAGACACATTAAAAAAAAAAAGTTAAGACCTAGCAACTGTGTAATCAACTTCAACACCACATTCAAAGATAAAAGTAATGCTTTTTAATCATTAGGTTTACCCTACTGATAAAGTTTCCCATGGAGTCTAATTTCTGAAAGAAGGCAAACAGGTTGGTGGTACTGGAACAGTTTCGCTTAACAAGTAAAGAATTCAAAGAGTGCTTGCAGTACCTGAAAATTTGTCTCTCTTCAGCAAATACTGCACCATGCTAAATTAATGCAATAGTTTTTTTAGAAAGCAGCTCTTGAGATTTGCTGCTAGTCAAGTAACCACTAGAAAAGTACTAGGGAAAAAATGCACTGGGACAGAGACGACTTTTTTTTTTTTTAAATCTCAGGCAAAAAGTGAAGTTTCAGCAAAGCACAGTTAGAATTTAAAATTGGAATTCATACTTGAAGAGAAGGGGCTGGAAGGTTACCCAGAAACACATTTCACAGTAGAGGACAGGGCCCTCTGGAAAATCACTATCAGCTCTCACGCAGAGGTACGAGACTTCCACAACCGTTTCCTCCTCCCCTCTCTGGATACCTCTTACGGTTTTCAGGCATATCAGATTTAGATAAATGACTCAAGGTCATACAAGGCGGTCACCTACTGTTTATAGTAGGCGAACATGTTTAGAGCGTCCTATAGCTTACTGCTTGGAGAGAACTGAAGAAGATGGCTACTTACCTTAAAGGGATACCTGCTACTTTCACTTTTCAGTTCTTCTGAAGTGAAGACTTTCCCAATGAATCTTTTTGCATCATATATGGTGTTCTGAGGATTTGAATCAGCTAGTTCTAGGCCATCATATCCTACATACACATCTCTGTCTGTGAAAGAGACTATACTTGGTATGCTGTTGTGCCCATTTTCATCTGCAATAACCTTCACCTGCCCTGTTCCAGGAAGAAAGACACCAACCGAGCAGTAAGTCGTGCCAAGGTCAATCCCAATTACTTTCGGTGTAGGCATCGGTAAATACTGCTGTGCTAGATAGCCAGCTAACAAGAGAGCCAGAATAGCCGAACCTGAAAAACAGATTTTTAAAAAATAGGGTTAGAGTATCTACTGCTGCAAACTTAGAAATCAATGCAAATTACACAGTATTATACCTTACAAATCATGCAGTTTTATTGCATGCTCTGAAGCCTGTTCAGCTACCTAATTAGTTTTCAATTTCTTCAAAGGTCACCAGCAAGTTCAGGTCTCCTAATTCAACAAAAAGAATCAAGTGTCTTAGGCATTAAATACTAAACTGATCTAAAAAAGCCCAAGAGGTACAGCAAAGCCAAAAATACCACTACCCTGTAATAATTCTTTTTCTCTCTGCAAGGTACTTCAAAAATCTAGGCTAATTAGTATTTTGGGGAGAATTGCCTATGAATGACCCCTAAGGGACATCTACTTAATGAGACTGCACAAAATCATAGTGAAATGACAAACTCCCAATTCCAACATCTCCTCCAACTTCACTGGAAGTACAAAAATACGGAGATGCAAAACGATGCTAACCCCTCCTATTTCAGTCATAGCTCTCAAAGGAGCATCTTAACCCCTCCCATTTAAGTCATAGCTCTCAAAGGAGCATCTTCCCACACCTCTAAATCTTTTCTACACCTTGAAATCAAAGGGTAGAGTCGTTTAAGTGCAGAGCTGTGGTGTTATTTTTTTAATTTTACACATAATCAACAGATTAAAGCAAGAAACACAGAAATCTAACATAAAGCAATGCCTCTGAGGAGAGGAAAAAAAAAAAAAGCACCAACAAACAAAATGTCAAGAAGAAATCTAAATAGCTTAAGTTTCAGAGTGGATAAGCTGTTTTCCCCAGCACGGCAGGGTGGTCACAAGTGTGCCTGAAACAGACTACCGAGGAAGAACAGGTTTACTTTTGGCCGTGAATCCCCCAAGGCACTTCTTAGCCATACGCCACTGAGAGCTTCCGCTTTCCAAACAGAGGAACACACCGAACACGCCACAGAAAGCCATGCCACCCTGACGAGCCAGTCCAGGGGGATGACGCTGGCAGAAGGCCTGGGA